GAGAGCACAGATTCAAATGTCTGCTGTTGAAGTGACAGAAAAAAAATAGAATTGCTCTGTGGTGCTTTGAGCTGTATCCTGCCAGGCGATGCTTATGCTAATCAAACACGGTTTGTGGTGGGTGGTGTGTGCATGGCTATTAGCCTGTTAGCAGTTAGCCACTCATTTGTGTAGTTTTCTTGGTTATTTCCTGGTTCTGATTTAGTGGTACAACAGTTGGAAACAGAGACTGTAACTCGAGTCCGGACCAGCGCAAAACGGCCCAGTACGGCCCTGAGAACTATTTGGCTCGACAGTGGAAAAGTGGCCAATGTGTAGTTTGGTCATCTTAGACGGACAGTTATTTGTGTACTTCGACATAGACGAAATATAATAAATAATTAAGAGAAAATCACACATAAGTGAGAGATGTAGCACAGCTGCTGCTGTCTCTAGCACTGCCAGAAGAACTAATGTAGAGAACACTAGAACTAGTTTACATGTGTTTTATAATGACCTTTGACACAAGAAACAGCAAAAGGACTTGTACTGCTAATGCTTTTGATGCTAATTTGAAATTTGATGCTATTGAATTGAACACATACATAAACACATACACACACACACACACACACACACACACACACACACACACTAACAGCAGGCCATGTAGGAGGAGAACAGAGTGAAGGACACAGCACCTCCACACTTTTATTCCCCGTGTGTTCACCCCAACACCACATGTGTAATATAAATGTGTGGGGGGTGAACAGTGTGAAGTGTGAAATAGGTTATCTGAAGTTGAAATAATAATAATAATAATAATAATAATAAATCACTTCATTTTTTCTTTTGGTAAATACTGAAAATGGGTCCCACAGACCTGAACACCACACAAGGGTTAACTAAATATATCAAAATTTTCACAATTCATTGAGTCACTCTTTACCTTTATTACACTTTTCATGAGACTCACTTTTAGTTTCTCAAAGATATCTACAGTCACCACTCCAAAGAAGAGAAATTGAACAGAAGAGAAAGAAGAAGAGAAGCATTTTCTACTTCTTATAATCCAGGTGATCCCAGCCACAAATTTAGCTCTGTAATTCTTCAGTACACCGTTTCCCTCATGGGCTCCATTTTCCAGAACTCCCTGGATTATCATGGATGGGAAAATTGTGTTGAATGCTGAGCTGTAGTCAATGAACATCATTCTCGCATAGCTGTCTTTGCTCTCTAGAGGTTCTTCCACCATGAACTCCCCTTCATTCAGATGATGACACTGTGAGCTGACACTTGGACCTTCTTTCTGCAAATCAGCTTGAATTTGTTTAGAAGTTGATTGAGGTTCTTTCTGCACCATTCAAACAATCCTTCGCTGTCACTCTCAGCAGATTTTCTGTCCTGTCCACATCCACAGGCATTAGCCACAGTGCCATGGTCAGCATCTTGTTGACATAGCATAGAGTGGACGCAGCAACATTAAGATCTCTGGAGATGGACTTGTAGCCTTGGTATTGCCCATGTTTCTCTGCAGTTTAGTTTTTCAAGTTCTTAGACATTTCCTTCCTTTTGTTTCTCTATGCTCAGTGTGGTACACACAGACACACAACACAAAAGTTGACTCAACTTTTCACCCTAAACTTTTCGATACAGTTCAAATTCAGCTTGAGTTTCTGACTGTCTGGGCGGTGTCTGCCTGATATATTTAATTCTGCTATCTGTCAGCATGTAATTTTGCACGTACGCATAAGCTCAAACCTTATGGAAGATTTCTATTTTTACTAAGAAACAATAAACATCTCAAAAAAGTCTAAAAAATAGAAATCTCTAAAATGAAAAAAAAAATAGAAATTTATATGTTTATATGAATTCCATGTATGGTGTTTCAGTAATAACGTTATTTGGAGATCAGGATCAGTCTTGTAACCCAGCATCCAATCACATTTTATTCAATTTTTACCAGTAATTTTTGTATCATCCCTTCTGTGTTGTCATTGGGCCTTCAAAATGCACTGTAAACATCTCGGATTTTCAGATTTTCTTCATTCACTTCATAATGTTAGTTGGCAGTCTGCGGAGAAATTGATGTTCGAGACCTCTAAATAATAAATCCCCACACCAGTGGGTAACAGCGTTACTTCAAAATCGAAAATAATCAAAAGGTTTATTTTGATTTTTCAGCTACCATTCAATGAATGTCAAACCATGTATGAAACAATTGCTGAATGTGAAACAGTGCTACTAACTAGGAGAGAGGAGCTGGTTAGCATTAGCTTAGATAGCATGATAACAGCTCTGCTCACCACAGAACATGCTGGATTCTGGCTGACTAAAGCACCAACACAACTTTAGATGATAGTGATTTTAATCTGAGGGAGTGAAGTTGAGCTACTGGTGCTAAAGGGACAGAAAGACTAAATTAAATCTGTGGTGTTTGGATCTGCAGCCTGATTGGCTAACTTAGCGTTAGCTTAGCGAGCAGGCTATAGACCCAAACAGAGCCATACACCACAGTACAGGTTTGATTCTAACTGCTGAAACAAGTGTAAATAATGAAGACTAATTCATGTCTAAAGAGATTGAAGTCAAGTAACTGGTGTTGGAGTGACAGAAATCTGAAATCGAACCTGTTCTTTGGTGTTTGGGGCTGCAGCGTTTTGGCTAAGCTAACGAGAGCTTAGTTAGCAACCCATACATGCCACATTCCAGCTAAATGAAGCTTAAAGGACCCCGTTTAGGGGGGTATAGTCAAGTGAGTGGTGTTGGTGTGAAAGGTGAAAACTGAACATGTTCTATGGTGAGTGGAGCTCTTAGCCATCGCTGAGCTGCTATCATGTAGGTTTTGTTTTTTTTTACTTCATTTTTTTTTCCTTGTTTTGATTTTTCCCATCTTTCTATCCCCACCTATCGGTGAGCTGCCATACCACCAATCAGCGACCCCTCAAAAATATAAATGTGTCATATGTGTTTTTGGCCATTTATATTTGGAATAGAAATTTGATGTCATAATTTTGAAGTCATTATTTTATATACTGGCATCACTTTTAGATAACTTATTACTGCTATACTGCCCAACCCTACTGGCTGCATTATTACATTGCAGTGATTAACTCAGTAAGAAACTTTTTAATGCATTTTATTAGTAGTTTTTGTTAACGTGGTCTTACGTTATGTTAGAGCCAAGCAGTACTGTAGCATGTGGGGATCTCAGAAGAAACATAGACAACTCTAAGTTTATACCAGCTTTATTTAAAACAGACTCAGCAAACAGAGTACAAGAAGGGACAGTGGCCCCCCGCTCTTTCAGCTCACATACACATACAAATAACCTGGGGGCAGTTGCAAAGCCCGATCCTCAATAATAAGAGTCCTAGCAAGAGAAATAAAGGCTAGAGAACCATAACCCACAACTGAAAAGCATATATATATATATATACACATGCTGCCACTCATCTGCGATAAAATGCGCTGTTACCCTGAAATAAGATCCAGTGGTAATGGGTGTCCACGCAGCATGTTACAGCCATCCTTCCCGTTTTCTTTAGTGATCTTTTAACTTCGGTTTTGGTCTCGTTGTAGAGAGTTGGGGGGGGGGGTATTTTCGAGACTGGACACTGAATCTCGGCTCCAAAGTGTGCAGCATAGCGTGAAAGCCCTGGTTCTCAACGACCGAGAGCAGACAGCAGACAGCAGGTCACACAGCACCGAGGTAGCGAACGAAGAAACAGAGATTAAGACGAACATTTGCATTTGGAGGAAAAGTTGCGAAAATGAATCGTGCAGCAGGTACATTCGGCGCCTAAGGCAGAATTTAAGGTGAAACGGGAAAATTAGAACGAGAAGCTGGCGAATGAGAAGCGACTTCATCCTCGTAAAACAGCCGGATGCTGAAACATTTTACAAGAAACTCTTCTAGTTTTGAAGAAAGGTTTTCTGGCGGAGATGGGAGGAAAGCGGCTGTAGCTGAAGCTTAAAGCAGATCAGAGTAAATCTGCGCTCTCGTTTATATTTTTAGCCCATACTACGACATTAACACATACTAGACATTAAATGTTGTGGCTCCCAAGCTGGTTTGACTTTGTTGAAAGGACAAAATGGCTCTACTTATCATTTGTGTTGTGACTCCTGATCTAACCTGGCTTTTAATGCAGAGGGAGCCCGTCGGATTTCTCACTCATCCAGTAGTATTTTTGTTGTGTGCTGCCACAGACTGTCCGGGCGCTGCACTTACCCACTTCCAAATTCCGCCTTTTGCGTTCCGTCAGCATTACGTTATAAATTAAATATTTAGAAAATCGTTTTTTGACATTTGTGAATCGATTCAGAATCATTCACGTCCGCATCGCGATGCATCTAAGAATCGAGTTTTTCCCGCACCCCTAGTGTGTATATATATATATATATAATAGATAGATAGATAGATCTCGCTGTTGTCAGAAGAAAACCTTGTATCTCCATTTTTGACATAATTTGAAAATACCTGTTGCTCTTTACATTGTATGTAAATTTCATTCGTTTGTACATTTATAGAGACCTAAGAAATCCATTTCACATGGTACACAAACACAGAATGTGTACCTAAATGTAGTATCATAAAACACTGACATGCTGATCTGTTACTCAATACAGTTTTGCCAGCCTTGAACAAGACTTGAACTTTGAATAGTTATGGCTGAAGTACACTAGATGGCGATGTGTACCTTTTACTTGCTAGACTGGGTGGGCACAGAAGTCTTTCAGAAGTAAACAAACTTGTTCGAGATAAACCTCGCCTTGCTTTGCCACTTGACCATTGATAATCATATTGAAGTCATTCTTTGATAAATAGTGCTTTTCTAGGTTTGTTTTCTGTTACTGTTGTGTATTTAACACAAGCTTACTTAATTTGTGAGAGTGTAGAGGATTTCTACACTACTCTTATTTTTAACGGGCTGTTTTATTTCATTGTTAAAAAATTAGTGCAAACAGCCACTGAAATTTAAGGCAAAGACAAAAACTGTTACGACCCTGGGGCTTCATTTATACAAGATTTGTATGCACAGATTTATTCGTATGAAGGTCATACATGAAAATTCTTGTTGAAGTATGATTCCTAAAACAAAATTTTGACGTGAAAGAATTCATTCCAACCTGACAGACAAACTTTTGGCAGTCAGTCACTATGACAGGATCTGTTTGATGGGGGCCAAACGAATTACTGAGGGACCACCTTTACCCATTCTCTAGATTTTACTTAAACTTTACGTGAGAAATCTAGCCTACATCACCAAAACCATGCATGTATTCAGTTGAAACATAATTACACAACATGAAAAATGATTAGGTCATTAATATGTTATAGTTAACACATCATACCATCAGACAGTTAATATGTGGCTCTGCTGAAGGAAGAAAGATTAAAAAAAAGCAAAAGAATCAAAAGCTAACGTTCATCACAGAAAGTCAACTAAACTGAGACGGTAGCATGCAGCTGTAATGGACAGATTACCTCCACGTGCCTCTCCACCATGAATGCTAGTATGCCGAGAGGTTGTGATCCATGGACACGCTTCTCGTAGATATAATAAGTGTAATAAGTCCATTGCAAATCATGAAAAATTTGAATACTTTAAATAATTTAAAGAAAACACTGAATTGTCTTTCTTTTAAAAATAATACAGGCAAAATAGGGCTACTGCAGTCAGATCGCATGGCAAATATTCTACTGTTCGTTCATTCATACATAATTCTTTTATTAGGAACAAGTTAAGTAAGCTAGTTTATTTGGAATTTTTGAGGACCTTGCAAACGCAGCGCTGCAGAGAACCACCTTTTTAGACTGAGCTGATGTTATTGTACCCAGTGATGAGTGACTTTTAAGGCCTTTTTTATGATTTATAAATGCCTCAGTCGCACTTCATGTTTGAATTAAAGTGATACTGGATAACAAATATTTTTTACCATACTTCTTCACGTTTTCACAATATATTTTCATCATCAAAGTGAATGTCCATGGCCATTTTTTGTACGTCAATGTAGCCCTCATCAGGGTCATCTGAATCCTCCCTCTGGTGGACGGTGACTGCTGCATTTTCGTAATCATTTTTGTCATCGTCCATCTTGTTCCCTGTAAATAATAGCACATGTGGTTTTGGTACATTAGGAAGGATTGTGTCAAACTTCACTCAAAAATGTACATTGTTAGCCAAATGCTACAGTAAATCATTACAGATCAGTGCAGTGAACTGTAAATGGTTTAAATGAGCATAAAGTTTATTATGTAATTGTACAAGGTCTCAGTATGAACCTCCTCCAGCTGTACAGACAACATCAACGCCATAGTCAAACTCATCCCATACTGGATTGAGCATGTCGGGTGTCACTGCACTCACAGCTCTTTCAGTGCGATTTCAGAGATCATCCTTAACATTCACTGCCATACTGACAGTCAGAAACTCTATGAGCCCCTCTTTCAATTGGTATGTGATTGGTTCCTCGGCGCCTCACGGTTGTAAAAATATGGTGCCTTGAAATTGGATGAATCTATTTCAATCACCCTGTATATAAATAAGTCGTTTATATACACACACATATTACATATTACTATTATTGTTTATTGTTTTAATGTATTTTATTCTATTATTTATCTTTATTTTCTTTTATTATATCTGTATATAGTGTGGGCAGTACTTTGCTCCTGTTCATTTTGCTCTTGTTCTGCTGTTTATTGTGCTTTGTACTGCTGCAATAGAAGAATTTCCCTCTGGGATTAATAAAGTGATCTATCGATCTATCTATCTATCTATCTATCTATCTATCTATCTATCTGTCTTTCTGTCTTATTAAGAAGCAAACAGCTTATTGTTGATTGGTTGATTGGTGTAATTCCTTATACTGTCCTGCACAACTTATATAAATTTGTTTACCTGCAAAGTCATTGTCCAGTGCCATCTTCCCCACATTACCCTCCATATTGACATAGTCCACATCACAATTATCTGAATCTTCTCTTTGGCGAAAAATAGTTTCGGCATTTTCGTAATCCACCTCATTCTTCCCTCTGGCAGTCCCGTATGTGTTTTTGGCACCTACAGATTGATTGTGTGGAAAAAATAAACTTGCTTTGATACTAAAACTGTAATTAGCTAACCAGGCAGCAAATTTCTCCACACAAAAATGAGATGTTATGTGAACACCAGTGAACAAAAAGCAAAGTTTGTTAATTAACATAATGAAAACACCATTTAATTCAGAATAAAAAGTACTCACAAACTCTGTGATCCGTCTTCACAGCCATCTGACCTTTTTGTTTTTTACATCTCTTTGTAAAGAAAACGATGATTGGCACTAATATGAGTAACAGTCCTGCTGCCACTCCGGAACCAATGAAGGGAATTGGTGACTCTGCGAAGGAAAGAGTTTTTTGCTTTATACAGAGAACAAATGAGCAAACAAAAGACTGCTTTGTGTTACTGTACCTTTCACAGTGACATCCAAGAGTTCAGTGGTAGGAGAGTTAAAGATGCGTGAAGACACGGTTACTTCATAAACACAGCTGTAGTCTCCCTGGTGGACAAAATCTGCCTCAGGAAAGAGGAAGGTGGTTGAGTGGTTAACAGCTGGCTGAGTTCCAGTTCTGGATCCACTGAACTCCAAGTAGAAGGAGCCTCCTGGATACTGTGGTTGAGTTGAGCAGCTGACGGAGAAGCTGTGGCCCCTGGTTACCTCTGACCCTTGAAGCCACCAGTGGAACCATCCATCAAGAGCACTGAAGGAGATAGTAGGCTGCAGCAAGTTCACTGGAAAAGTAAGAAGAACTTGTATAGAGATTTGCAGACTGATAGTCAAGATTTGACTACAGACACTCCAAATCAGACGTGTCTTACCCTCAACAGAGAAATGAACAGAACTGCTTTTACCATGAGAAACTTTCAGTTAATCCAAATGATTTTATGCTGTCCAAGTAAAAACTGTGATACATGCTGTGACCTTCTCAATACTTATTTATTAAGCAAGCAAAATTCTCCACTACCTGCAGAGCAATGCACATCATTTTATCAAGGCCTATTTACACCGATTTTTCTCCCCCAGTTTTCTCCCCAGTTTAGCCATGTCCAGTGTCCAATTCCACTCCTCAGCTAAGTCTTCCCAATCACACAGTTCAACCAGTGTTAAGAGGGTGAAGTCTAACACTTGCTTCTTTTAACACCTGTGAATCCAGACACAGCATCTTTTCGATTTACTTTTAACACATCATTGGACAGCTGAACACGCTTGGAGGAGAATTCAGCTGCATTCAGACAGTAGAATGTTTTCTGCAAAAAAGTTTTGCAAAGCAGAGAAAGAGCAGAGCAAATATTAATGTACAGTGTTATGGGCTGGAAGTTTGACCCTATTGTGCTTCCACCAGGATTAGTTCTTCCTAATCAGCCAATGTAAACATTAGCAAACATTTGCAAGTGCCACAACTAGCCAACAGACTTCCACATTAAAGGAAACCACTCACCAAGACCTTCAGTGATGAGAAGACTTCATCATCTATTTCTCAAGGTTTTTTAGCAAGCCTTTGTGATAACAATATACAGGATGGTAAACATGCCAGTGAATTAATAGTTGTTTGAGCTGAGCATTTTTCCATCAGAAATGCAATCAAATCTGTCCTACAATAGGGCCCTGTGTTCGCTCTCCAGTTCAGTTTTACCTGCCCTTTTTTGATTGGTTACTTGTGAAAAGTGGTATGGGATGAGTGGAGCTTGTCCTTTGAAGTCAAAAAAAAAAATTCAACTCAATTCGCAAATAATCCATGATCGGTGGCAGAACGAGCAGAGCCTGTGTACTACAGCTTCCTGCAGTTGGATATAATGGCATTATGGGAGAAATATGCTTCTCAACACAGCTGAACTGCCAGTACTGACATGTCAGCTAACAGACGCCAGGGCTGTGCTAAATGGGGGTGGGGAGGAGTCCTACCCACCCAGAGAGTGGCCAGTTGTGCTTTCTTGGACTCCCGGCCATGGAAAACTGTAGCATCATATTGGAATGAGATTTCACCCCAATATTTAATGTAGTGGAACCTTCTTATCAAGTCTGGTTGTGTTTTTAACACATTGGATATAAAGAATAAGGGCTTATACTAAGTCTTCATTGTGATTCTCAAATACAAACAGGGAGCTGAATATATTCTAACTTTTCACTCGCAGTGACTTTGCATCATTCAATACAAATGGACAGCACATGAATAAATCTGCATGTGCCATGAACTTATTTAACCTATTAAATCCAGTGTAGAAATTAGTAAAAGATGATTTTCCGAGTGGTGTTTGCACTCACCCACAGTAATGTTAATCAAGCTGCTCCTAGGTGATGTGATGATGTTGTTTCCATGGTATGAATAGTCACAGCTATACTGGCCCTGATGTGAGGAATCCACAGTCAAATTGAACGTGACTGAAGATTCAGCTGTTTGAGTTTTTATTGATTCCCCGTTTTTGTACAAAGAGAAGTTTGCAGAGATGCAGGTTGGGTTTAGATTGGTACATCTGAACTGAACAGCCTCCCCAGGCGAGACAGCAGAGTGTGATGAGGTCAAGGTGAACGTGGGGCTCTGCAAGATGTCTGTTAAAGAAATATGATCAGTAATGTTGTAAACACTTTATATTGCTGTTAAACTATTGTAACAGTGCACTACTACAAAAAGATCTACTTACTTGAGCAAACAACTCCAGCGTCTTTGTCATGTCCACAGTTCTCCACTCCAGATCCTCCGTGTGAACACTCAGTTAT